AAACTGTTATGATGAAGAAAGTAATATAATCTCAGTAGCCTCAGTAGCCTAATGTAATAGGTGAAAGACTACTAGTGAAAGACTTCTAGTGTGAATTAAATATAATCTTTTGAAAAAAAAATATTTCAAAGGCTGGGGTCAGACTTCTCACACAGTCTTGGCAGTAAATCACTGATCTTAATCCTTAATTCAACTTCTGAACTTGAATTTGAGTAGAATTTAGAATTTTTTCTGCAGAGGGATGGAGAGGGGAGGGAAAGGGAATGTATTCTTCTATTAATACAGTATTTTGTTTATACTATGATCAAAAGATCTTGAATATTTCCCCCCACATACACACACACAAAAATTCAAAACTTCAAAATATAGTGATTAAGGTTGGCCTTAGTAATTAAATCTATTTTGTTTCATAAGGGATTTTATTCCAAATTGAATATAGCTATGAGGTTTGCTTGAGACAGACATTCCAAGTCCTTTATTTATTCAGTTTTATTTTTATTTTATTTTATTTTAAAAAGGCATATAGATCTTCACATCATATTGTTTTATTGTCAGAGCTTCCATTTGCCCAGTAGGCACCTAGGCGTTAGAATCTGCTGAGAATGTTGACAATTTGCTGCTAATGATGCCTTGGCCCATCACAGACTTGCAATTTTCAGGGTTTCCTGTGGAGAAATGGCTAACAAACCTGTTTCAGACTTGGATATAGATTAGCTCAATTAAAATCTCTATTCCTCTAATTTTCAAAAATATGGGGAAATGAGTAGGCAGTCTTCTGTCTAATTTCTCATGATGTGGAAAAAGCTGGCTTCCACTTGAAAGTCTGTTATTTATGTCAGCATATAGATCAGGCATAGAGATGGGCATAGAGAGTATTAGCAATAGTCTCACACTAAAAGTGAATTCAAAAATACCTTAGCTTTTGTGGCTGTGGCTTATGGAATCTATTGATTGCATAGGACAAGGGCAGGCAACTTTTTCTGAGGGCCACTTTTAAAGGTAGATTTTGGAGACCCTTGGAGACATTATTGTAATTAACTGGTATGAGAGTAGCAAGAAGATCTCAAATTTGGGCCATTTTTTTAAAAAATACTCAAACAAGATACTTTAAAACTCTCGTGGTTTTAACAGATATTTTGAGTTCTCTTATACATGCAAAGAAAAAAATGTTCAACTTGTCAAATTTTTACTTTTACTTTTACTTCAGGTCAAATTTTGGCAATGGAATTTGGGGTGTAGAAATGCTTCAGTAGATTAAAAATGGGGGTTGGAAGCTACTTTTGGTTATAGGTTCCTATCTGTGTCCAATACAATGTTGGATACCTTTGTGAAGACTAGTATCCATAGAAGGAGAAAGGGCTATTTCCTACCATGTAATGGACTGATCCATGGGGCGTCATCTTCTGGCCAGGACTGTGTGCATGCCCTATGTCAAGTAGTCTTTTTGACATGCAGCCCAGGGTAGGATTCAGCCGGTTTGGACTGATTCGGGTGAACCAAATCCTAATTTTACATTTGGTTCGCCAAACCAGTAGTTGCAAGGAGGACAAAAAATGGGACTCCCGGAAGTTCCAGAAGTCTGGAAATGGGGGGCCCGTCCACCCAGCAACTGGGCGGAGAACTGGTTGCTAAAATCTTTGAATACCACCCCTGTATGCAGCACTTTTGTTTGATGTTTCGAATATTTTATTATTTACAAGAATATAAAAATACAAAGGAAAAAGAAAATTATGGGAAATTATGGGTACAAAAAGAGAAGAGGAAAGAATGCAGGGGAGGGGAGGGGGAGAAGCATTGACTTCTGACTCTTTTTAGCATATTAGAAAATAAAAATAGAGGGTACAATGGCTCAGCAGTTAACACTGATCTTATCAGCTGGAAAGTTGATAATGGGTTCGCAACACAACAGGGTGACCTTCTTTCCTTGCCCCAGCTCCTGTCCACTTAGCAGTCCAAAAGCATGAAAATGCAAGTAGATTATTAGGTATCACTTTGGTGGGAAGGTGACAGCATTCCTTTTGCCTTTGGCTGACCACATGACCATCAAAAAGTCTTCAAACAATACTGGTTCCCTTGGCCAAGAAACGGAGATGAGCACTATGTCCTGGAGTCAGACATGACCGGACAGAGAAACTTTTACCTTTACCTAGAAGATAATAAGATTACACCTCAACTTTTACACAGTAATGTATACTAAATTGAATTTGGGTCTGTCACTGGGACCAGAGATTTACTCTTCTGAGTTTTCAGACACATGCTAAAGCCCATCTTCAGAGAATTTCTCTACTGGAATACATGCTTTGGGCTGTTCTGTGAGTCATGTTTATGTGGTCCCTATTGGCCGATTACTGTGTTGATCGCTGGCGATTGGCTGTTGTTTCCATGTGCTGCCAACTCTCAGCTCCTATATATTTGATAGGCTAGTGGTAATTCAGCACTCCTGTTAACTGACAAAGGACCCGTTTCCCAAGTTTCAATCATTTTCCTGGCTATCTTTGTGCCTGGCCAATTATCTTAAGTTGCTGCAAAATTAAATGTGTTTCCTTATTTATTGCAATGTGACGATGTGTAATGAGTTTGGGTTTCTTTGTCTAACTGCTCACTTGTGTTCTTGTAATTTAATGGTTAGCTTCCTCCCCATTTGTCCTACATAGTAGATTACATTAGAAGTCTCTCCCACCTCCAAGCGATCTTTACAATGCATAATTTGTCCTTGTATGGTAGCCTCTAGGCAGTGTGCAATGCTCACTTACAGATCTTGGCAGCTGGGTTCTACTACTTCTGAAATGTTTTTGATGTATGGCAGGGTGTGCCATATAGTTGGTTTTTTTACCTTCTTTCTTTTCTCTCCTTTGCTTTTTGCACAGGCATCTTGCAATAAATGCAATAAATAAACCCATTATACTTGAATTGTTCATGTATGTACCTCTCTCTAGTTGTTTAGCTTGCTGGGTACTACAGTGGGTTCTCACTCTGCCATATAGTATTCTGACGCAGCTCTTTTTGTGTGACAGTGGATGGTTTACAGTTGAAACTAAGAATGTGTGGAGTGTTGGCAGCCTTACAATAAACTGTTTCTAGGCTTCCATCTTCCTGCCTATCAACAAGCACATCTAAAAATGGTAATTATCTAAGATGAAGTTCAGTAGCATATGAAAGTCTTTTAGTGCATTTCTTTTGATGATGACAAATGTGTTGTCCACATAGTGGCACCAAAAATTAGGTGTGTAGTTTTGAAATGCACTGTGTTCTAGTTCGTGCAGGACAGTTTCTGCAATGACACCTTATATTGGGGATCTCATGGGTGTCCCTTTTATTTGCTGATACATTTTCCTTTTGAATGTGAAGAAGGTATGTTGGCAGTATTAGAGTAGCTTCATGATTTGTGTCCTGGTTAGCTTGTTTCGATCTGTGTTGTATTCTTCTTCTAGTTTTTTATCTATTACTTCATATACCAGTTGGGAGGGGTGTAAATAGGGATATTATTTCTATAATAACGGACCCATCTAATATGCAAAACCAAAAACAAAGTTTCATTTTTTTCTATCTCAAGTACAAAATCCAGAAGCAGCTGCCAAGTAGAATCAAAATTAGTTCTTTTCTCTGAATAAAACAATCAATTTAACCATCTCTACTTTTTTTCCCTTGCTATGGAAAGAAATGAATATTTCTATTTGTACTTACTAATCTTAATAGAATATCCTCATTTATATTAATAAAATTCACTATACTTTTAAAAATTCTTTAACCTTAAATGGAAAAAATTAACCTCCATTTTAAAACATTTTCTTTAAAAATATTTGTAAAATCAATACATTCTAATACATCTTCTTTAAAACTTTTTCTTAAAATATTGTACATATTTTTAAATTCATTTTCTATTTAAAAGTGTTAGGAATTAAACATTATATAAGGGGGGAAGAAAAACCCCATTTTCAAACCTATTTTATAACTACATTTGAGTTTTCTTTCAATTACATAAACCATAAAAATCCATGCTAACATGAACCAGCTCAGTAAATTTAAGTCACTGCTTCCAGCATATCCTCATAAAATAAAATCTTTTTCTACTCTAAAGTATCTATCAAGTAATTATAAACTTCTCCTTTTCTGAAAGGATTCTCAAGCTTCATTGTCCCAAAAAGTCCCAAACTTGTCCTCCTAAGAGTTGTAGACTTACTTGGAATTTTTCTTTCTATTGCATTAAAGGTTGTATTTAAATCATCATCATAATAGAAATTGGTGTCAGATTAGTGAGCGGAGGTGGCGCAGTGGTTAGAGTGCAGCACTGCAGGCTACTTCAGCTGACTGCTAGCTGAAGTTCGGCAGTTCAAATCTCACCAGCTCAAGGTTGACTCAGCTTTCCATCCTTCTGAGGTGGGTAAAATGAGGACCCAGACTGTTGGGGGCAATATTATGGACAAAAAGTGGTATAAAATTAAATAAATTTGGAAGGAAAATGCTTTAACAGGAGATATAATAAATTGAAATGTAAAAATAAAGACATGTACATATTAAGAAAATGGTGGTAAGCATTAAATATGATGACACAAAAAAATTGTATCCAGATGATGCACTGATTGATCAATGATGTGATGTTTGTTATGAAGAGAAAAAATAAAAAAGTTTTTATAAAAAAGAAAGAAAGAAATTGGTGTAAGATTTATATTCCAAAATTGCAGTTAAGTCCTTTACATCATTAGATATTTGTAAAATTCCCTCAGTGGTTTGGTAACTTTCTACACATAATTGTATCTCTGAATCTTTTGTTTAATTACTTGAATAGTTTGTTCCTCTGGCTCTTTTTTATAACGTCTTTAGAACATAATTGATCTATAAAGTGAATTGTTTTATTTAAATATTTCTGACAATATGATAAGAGTCTATGTTTCATCATTTTCTTAATTTTCATACTCTTGTGATTAAAGAGTAATTTTTTAATAAATCAATTAATACTTTCTGGTTAATCAAAATTCATAAAAATCAGAAAGTTTCAGCCATCCACCACAAAACAGTCCAAAACAGGCAGCACTTTTGCTCTTGTGGAAACTGTCTGAAGAAGTCCTTCTGAAATCCTCGTTGAGTCTCTCCAGCTCTCTTTGGCAAGAAAGAGGGGAACTGCAAGCCTGCATTTATGAACAGAACTTTGGAACTGAGTTTCTTTTCTCTAGTCCAGCCCTCCAATTTCCTTCTGCCAATGCAGGGAAGTTTCCTGCGTCCCTTCAGCAGGCAATTCTTTCCCTTCATCCGCTTAATGATTATGCCTGAGAAAGCCAGGATATGATTGTAAAGTTATGCCACATATGTCAGGTCATAAATCAAGGACCACCTGTACCTGTTCGATTGTCTTTTCCATAGTGCTGGCTGAATATTAAACAGCCAGATGATTCTTCTGCAATCTAAGCAATATGGCCAAGGAAGGAAGTGTCCAACACCTGCACAGGACAAAATATGGTCATTAAGGCTGTAAGTGGCCAACAACTGGAGAATTTAGGGAAATCCCAACCATTAACTACATCCCAACCATTAACTACATCTGCCACATTAGTGATTATGTCCCTAGACAAAATTGTGTCAGGAGAACAGTATCATTTTAAATTTGGAGCAATGAAATACAATTCTGAGCTGCCTCTGCAGTGGGTTAAATTTTATTTTACCAAATCTAAGATTTTAAAATTTTTAAAAGGGACCTAAGGGCTACTAAATTATATAAAATTAAAAATATTGCTGTAAAACAAGTCCCTATCTTTGAAATATTGGGAGCAATTGAGAAGTTACTATTTTTATATACCCTTTTACAATGACTGTGAGCTGAAAGACTTTTTCCTTCTATTCATTTTTGCTTTCTGTATTCAATTTGCTTTTTCTCTGTGGGAATTTTAAATTATATTTTGAAGGTGAACTTGTTAGCCACCAGACAGAGCAAAAAACTAACATTTATGCATTATTTCAAAATCCCAGTAATGGAACTATTTTAACAACCAAAGGATACAGTATTGAAAAGATTATTTTTAAAAATAAACCCTGCATCAAATCTAATTTTAACAGAAATAAGGGACTCAGAACTACTCAGAGCATTTGCAAGAAAAATAATATACTCATGAAAAAATATACAAGTCATAGAAAAAAAGACTAGCGTTATGATTTGCAAACTATATGCCAGATACTGTGTGTATTCCTGCCCACAGAAGACCCAAATTATATCCATCAAACTAAATGAATTACTCAAAGAGAAAGTAAAGGATCTAGAGGCAAGTCTAGTCACTCTTGAGCCTCACAGAACAAAATAAAATACTCCAACTAAAAGAAAAAGACTGTAACAAACTGAATACAATAAGGAACAAACAACTACCAGAAAGAATGGCTGTTAGAGATAGACCAATGATAACATGTTCATTTAAAAAAAAAACCAAGAAATATGTTCGTGCAGTCCAGGCCAATCCAGTCCTGTTCTGCTATAACTGAGTAATCAATTTCATATCTTCCTCCTGAAAGAAAGCGTGCTGACATCTGGAGAAGGGACAACATTAAGTATACCAGTGACAGGAAGAAAAGTAGACCAGACTTCCCCTAGAAAAAAAGGCATATGTTGGTAATAGGATACTCACTTCTTAAAGGAATGCAACCATCAGTTTGTAAACTGGACAATCTATCAAATTGCACATAACTGATAATCAGATAATAAATAGAGAAGTATTTGATTGTATTGGATACAGTTGAACATTGTCTAAAAACACTGGAATTCAACTTTGTGTCTTATATTTATCTCTCCCAGGAGAGGTGGTTTTTTTTTTTTTGCAAATTTTATTTATTTATTTATTTATTTAATTTTTATACTGCCCCCTCTCCCGAAGGACTTGGGGCGTGAACAGCGAATTTTGTATTCGTTTATAGAATTTATCTCCAGAAAAGCTCATCTGACATTCCCATTAGCATCATTTCGGCAACAGGTAAGACTTCCCCCTTTTTTAGTTTTTAAAAACTTTTAATTGTATTTTAATTCATATTGTTGTGTTTAATTAACACTTTTCTGCTACCTAGTTGACACTACTTCCTTATTTATTACCTGATTATCAATCATTCTGCCCTTTAGTGTCCATCAGAAAAGACTTCTTCTCATTTTTCCCCACTATAGATCAACATGGCTTTCTTCATAAAATAGAAGAAAAATCAGTCAGTTGCAGCTTTGACCATTTTTATCAGACCACAGACAACACTGATAACTGTAAGTGATCAGACAATGTAGTATTGATGGCTTTCTTATGGTTAGGGTTACCTATACAGCTCTGAGGCCTGTTATTTCATGTCAAACTCATGTATCTTTACTTTAAAACTAATGTTTCTACATCCTACCAGCTACCAGACTTTATTTTAAGTAAATTGAAATAATGATGTCACCCTCTTCTGCAGTAATGGAGTTCTAATTTGGAGCATTGGCATGTGAAAGATGTCACGTGATCTTTCAAGCAGCCCTTCTTTCCAATTACTACTCTATACTTGTTTTCTACCTAATTCTATGATGTAAAAGAGGGATGCTCTGCTTCATTTCAAATATCAGTGTAAAGCTGGTTCTGTTTTTTAAGTCAATATATGCTATAAAATTCTTGAATCAAAGGTCAAAGTCCATTAGGCCCCACCCATTTAGTGTAATGTGATTTAAATAGAAAAAGGGGTAGAGCTGGCTCCTCCATAAACATGCAGTTATCACTAAATCTTAGCACTAAGTATTGTGCTAGGTTCACCAGCTGCCCCTTTCCAAGATGGTGCTGCCGAAGGTTGCCTCAGTGAAATGCTCTCTAATGATTTTTTAATTTTTTTATTATTCTCTGAGACTCACTATGGATTTCATACCCACAAGACCATCTGCTAAAAATTAAGCAGTATTTCTTTAAGGATCAGCTTTCTGTGCTCTCTCTCTCTTTCTCTCTCTCTCTCTCACACACACACACCACACCCCGTCTTTACAAATGCGGAGATTCTAACACAGGAAGAAGCAATTTCCCCGGAGCCATGGATTACCAAAAAAACCAAATGGAGGAAACAGAGGAGAGGTAAAAGGGTGGGAATTTTAAACAGGTTAAGGAATAGGACAAATAAAACTCCTCTGCCTTCAATTTTCCTAACCAACGTACATTCACTTGCTAATAAGATGGATGAAATACTCCTTTTAAACAGATACTATTCTGATTTTTACAATTCAGCAGCCCTGTGCTTCTCTGAAACCTGGTTAAATGAATCAATTGGAGATAGCAGCCTGCATATCCCAGGGTTTCAGATTCAACAATCAGACAGAATTGCAGAAACATCTGGTAAAAAGAAGGGAGGAAGCTTATGCTTATATATCAATAACAGCTGGTCTCAGGATATAACTATAATATATAAATTCTGTGATGAAAACTTAGAGACATTAATTATTAGCTGCAAACCATACTATTCGTCTCGTGAATTTTCCTCATTTCTTCTAATTGCTATTTATGTCCCACCACGAGCTTGTGTAAACAAGGCATTACGAACTCTAACTGACCAAATTATGGAGGCTGAAGCCAAATACCCCAATTCACTGGCTATTATTTTGGGAGATCTAAACAAGGCAAACTTAAAGAAAGAGCTACCAAAATACTTTCAGCACATCAATTGTCCCACTAGAGGCAAGAGTACTTTAGACCATTGCTACACAAAACTAAAAGATGCTTATCGGTCTTTACCATGAGCAGCTGTAAGACACTCTGATCATTGCATGATTCACCTTGTACTGCTTACAGGCAAATACTTAAAACCACAAAACCAACAATTAAATCAGTGAAGACTTGGACTGAGGAGGAAAAGTCAAAGCTACAGACTTGCTTTGACTGCACTGATCGGAATATTTTTGAAGATACCTCTGCAGACCTGGATGAACTCACAGATACTGTGACTTCATATGTCAGCTTCTGTGAAGACCTATGTGTACTGACCAGGAACTTGCGAATATACAGTAACAACAAACCTTGGTTCACAGCTAAACTTAAGCAGCTACGTTGTTCCAAAGAGGAAGCCTACAGAAAAGGTGATAAAATGCTGTACGGAAATGTATTAACAAGGGAGATCAGAGCAGCAAAAAGAAGCTACTCTTTCTCATTTTAAACTGGCTTATAAATAATTAGTTCAATTTTTTTTAATACAGTAGAATTGCTCTATGAGGGAGATGGAAAGATTCTAAATGTGATTAATAAATAAATAAATAAATTTTGATCCTCAAAGACTTATGAATGTCTCCCTATAATACTCTACCTTGTTAAGCATTAAGGCTAGCTTCAAAATATCTACTTGCTTAATGTTTTTATGTATTTATTTATTTATTTGTCAAGCATGTATAAGATAACAGATATAAGTATAAACATGATTACGAATACATGTAATGGATATGAATAAATGGGGACAGTAGGACAGTGATGGTACGCACATTGATGCACTTATGCACGCCCCTTACAGACCTCTTAGGAATGGGGTGAGGTCAACAGTAGACAGTCTAAGGTTAAAGTTATGGGGGTTTGGGGATGAAACCAGAGAGTCAGGTAGTGCATTCCAGGCATTGACCACTCTGTTGCTGAAGTCATATTTTCTGCAATCAAGTTTGGAGTGGTTTACCTTAAGTTTGTATCTATTGTGTGCTTGTGTATTGTTGCGATTGAAGCTGAAGTAGTCATTGACAGGTAGGACGTTGTAGCAGATAATTTTGTATACCACGCTTAGGTCTGTTACTTACTGTATTCCTGATACTAAATAACAACAAGCTAGAATTCTGGCCTGACTTACGATTAGTGCTACTCTTTCTGAAGAGATACTTAAAAAGTTCAGTCTTTGCCATTGAAATGGAGAGAGATTGAATTAGGATGAGGAACATAGCATTATATGCCTTTTGATTAGCTTGCTGAAACTTTTTGTAGAATGGCCAAATGTTAACATGGCAGCCAGTTCTGTATGATAATATTTAGTTATTTATTTTTGAGATGCTCTTATCTACTAAGTAACTTGTTTGACTTTAAGCACTGGAAATTCTGCTGTTATTTAGAGGGATAGGATTAAGATCTGTGCAGTAAACAAGGAAACCATGTTTTATATTCTAAAAATATTAAAATTTTAAAGTCTTAATATTTTTATGTTAATTTTATAAGTTATTTATATGTTAATTATATTGTACAGTACCCAGAGTCCCTCTGTGACGGAATCCCAAAGGTACTTTTCTTCAAGAGGCAACCGGACTTTCTGGTTTTTCTTTGAAGACGTTTCACTTCTCATCCAAGCAGCTTTTTCAGCTCTTGGATGAGCTTTTTGGATGAGAAGCAAAACATCTTTAAAAAAAAAAAAAAAACACAACCCCAGAAAGTCCAGTTGCTGCTTGAAAAAAAGGACCTTGGAGATAACCATGAACTGGATGACTGAGAATCTCCATAGC